CCCCCCCCCCCCCCCCCCCCCCCCCAGTTGTTCGACGCGTTCAACCCCACTGCCAGGACGAAGCGAAGGGCTGCCTTCGTGAAGCAGATGATGAGAGGTGCGACCAACGCCCTGGCTTTCATGCACGAATCGGGGGTCGTGCACCGGTCCTTGGGGGCGCCGAGCCTCCGAGTTAACACCCTCGGTAAGCTGTTGGGTATGTTGAGTACAAGAACGCCACCAGCTAGCGGCATCAAGCAATGGCCGTCCGTCAGGCGTACCACACGTCTTCCAACACCCACGCACGGACACAGCACAGCATTCAACGGCACGCAAAAAGATGGCAACATATGCCCTCCCTGCTGTATGTAGTCGTTTTTCTCTGCCTTGGTAGCAACGATCGATCGGCGAGCTATTTAATCGCCCAACCAATGAGAAGGCTTTATTTATATCTCAGCGGGGCAAGAAAGCTCCTCCATGTATATCTGGAACCCCGTCTGCCCTCCACAAGCTGACACACGACCATCCGCCCGCCCCCGTACTTCACCCCAGACGAGCGATATCCAAGGCAGCTGGAAGTCCTGCTGTCAGACTTTGGGTTTGCTACTCGACTGTCGGAGATCGATGACGAAACCATCCGAAGGTGAGCTGGCCTCTTTTGTCGGAGCCACTTTCCGCTTCTATTGATTCTTGTGTGATCTTTTCCGTGTTGATTGTTCGAACCTCATGAATATTTACTGATTGAAGACCCTACGATTGATTTTTGTATGATGTTTGAGGATTTGGTTTTTTCGAACCTCGTCGATATTCACTGATTAAGACCCAATCGTGTGTGATTTTTTCGATGTGATTTTTCGCACTTCGTCAACATTTACTGAATTAAGTCAGACCCTTTTGGTTGATTCTTGTGATTTTTGAGACTTTGTTGATTTTTCGAACGTCTTCAACATGTACGTCCTGGGGGCCCTACGCCTTGTGTGATGTATCTTGACGTCAACGAAAAAAAGGGCGAGCTCGTCGGGGGCAACGTCACCGTTCGCAGTGTCGGACTTCCTCTTCCGGGAGGACCTCTACTCCCTCGGGTACGTCTTCCTAGAGCTAGTCTTCGGTGCGTTCTGTGACGACAAGTCCAAGCGGCCGGACCAAAACTCCCTGAAGCGGCTTCTCGAGGACATCTTCAAGGGGGATTTCAAGGCCTTTAAGGTGAGGGGGGGGGGCATACTCTTATGTTTTTCATGCCTTAGCGGTTAGACCGTTGACCACGCGTCCTCGAGCGGACGGAGCTTTGTTCCCACAGGACCGATCACCGATGGCCAATCGTTCTGCCAAAGGTGGCTCAAAAATGTGTTCCTAGTCTGTCTAATCTATAGATATCAGTTCCCGCCTTTTCAACCCACTTCCTATGCCCCAGTACAGCTACCGTCTTGTGCTGGGGGGGTGGGCTTCCCAATCTTTTATCTTGACCCAAGGCATCTGCAAAGAATCTGTGTTTCGGTTCAAGCTTGAATCTTTCAAGAGACTGCGGGTAGTACAGTTCCCGGATGTTTTGGTAGGTGTGGTCGTGCAAGTCTCCCCGTCTTTTGAGCACACGGCGGTGTTTCAGTTCCGCCTTTTGGGTCTACAGGCGCCTTGACTGATTATTGATTGATCACTTGCAAGTGATGGTGTTGTGGCATCCCATGGAGTTGTTGCCCTTTATCCCTCCACGCCAGGTGTTGGCACGTTCAATAGGTAGGTGTGTCTTTTATTATTGGCATCGACCGCGCTACCCGGTGACCAATGCGAAGACGTCACAGCAGTGCCAGCGGGTAACATCAGGTCCCTGGAACGGCCAAAATCCGAAAAATTCACACTGCTCTAAATGCAAATGCCACCATGAATCTCTCGCCATATCCTTTCACAGCGGCACACATCAATAGCTCCACATACATGCCCTCGCCCGAATCTAGGAAGCCATTCAAGGAAAGACAGGATGGCAGCGAAAAGGGGCACTTCAAGCCCAACCCCCCAACCAGGCCAAGATATGATCGTGGTATGCTGCATACCCTCCAAATTTGAAAATCGTACACTCCCAAGATCCAGCAGTCATCGTGTCAGCAGCTAAACTATGCAGCAGCAGCAGTTGAACAAGTCCAACATACAGTAGTTAGACATACACTATTTTCATAGCCCTACACATACTCTCGCCCGAACCTAGAGAGCCACTGATGCAAAGGTAGGTGTGTGCTGTGGTATGCCTGCGTGCGCGTGGGAAATGTGGGAAAATCACAGGAGCTGTAGTGAGCCGGCAGGGCTCANAACTATGCAGCAGCAGCAGTTGAACAAGTCCAACATACAGTAGTTAGACATACACTATTTTCATAGCCCTACACATACTCTCGCCCGAACCTAGAGAGCCACTGATGCAAAGGTAGGTGTGTGCTGTGGTATGCCTGCGTGCGCGTGGGAAATGTGGGAAAATCACAGGAGCTGTAGTGAGCCGGCAGGGCTCACATTGGGAAGGGGAGAGAGAAGTACAGAAGTACAAGAACCAGCAGCTATGGGTCTACAAGGCCTCTCACTGATCATTTGAGTATATTGAAAATAGAGTAGTTTCGGCTGCTTGACGACTGATATTTTCGAGGTCTACAAGCCTAAGCTGCCCTACCGGCCGCACCGATACCACATACCAACCCTTCTATGACCCTGTATGTGCCCACCGTCCTGTCGCGGGCAGCCCTCACGGCCTATGGGTAGAGATAGCTGTTCCGTCTACAGACGTACGCACGTCTCTTTCTGCTGTACGTCTGCCTCTCTCTCCCGCACTCTATCCTCCCTAATTGTTTTTTTTGCTGCAAAAAAAAAAGGGCTAGACCCAAAGGGGTTAACGGTTTTTTAGGGCAACGCTCTTGGTTGGCCTCCTCCCGAGGATGCTGCCTGACAGAGCTATCTGCATACCCCCCCCCCCCCCNTCAAACGTACACACACGACCCTTCCGGCTACTCCCTGACAGAGCCCTCTGCACCCCCCTTCCTCCACCCACAATGGTCTGACGACCAAGGCATGCAGCCCCCCCGCGCCCCCGCCCCCTTCGCGCTTGGTGATGTGAGAGCCTGGTCCGGTGGGACCCCGGCGTGCTCCTTCCCGGCTTTGGAGGGATGCGAGGTCAATGGTCGAACGAGCACGGCTATGAGTACCCCCCCGCCCATTATATGCCTTCACACGCACATGCACTCGCACACGTAACCCTCCAGGACTACTGCTTGACGGAGCCCGCATGGGAGCCGGCGGTGGAAGTCCTCGACGCAGATCGGGGAAGCGGGTGGGGGCTAGCCACGGCCCTGCTACAGGCGAGGGGCACGGCAGCGTCGAACTTTGACAGGGGGGGGTACGGCGGCGACTACGACTATGAAGAAGAGAGTGCTCCGGAAGGGGGCCCCGGGGATGTGAAGGAGGTGTCCATGTCGATGGCCAGCACGCGCGGGGTCTTGTCCCTGCCGTACTTCACCGACGCGCAGCGATGAGAGATGTAGGGGCGGATCGCCCCTACCAAGGTTGCGTACGATACCACAGTCCCCTCTGGACCGGATTTCAAAGCTTGGTTGCTCTGCAGCGAAAAACAGAAGCGACTTCAGCTGTGTATCGTTGGAACCGTCCACAGCTTGCCGAAAACATAAATATCTTCGTTTAGTGTTAGTACCCTCTTTGTTTTGGTACATGTGGTTTGAAATTCGGTCCAGGGGGGGTGGTGTCTTGGTCGGATATTATTTTGTGCATGAGCGAAGCGTCGACTTGTTCGTGGACTGATGTCATCCTAGCTTATTGTTTTTGTTGCTCACCTTTTTTTTTTCTGGGTTGTTGAAGAATGCCTCTTCGTCCCTTGACTTGGCCGAGCTTTTGACACGATCTCCGTCTAATCCCTCATCGACTGAACTCCAATGGATGAAGTTAGCTCGGTTGTTTGTTTTTTGGTATCTGTCGTCCGGGCTGCCGCCTCTCAGGGGACGTGCCATCGCTTACACGCGCGGGTCGGTTGTTCGGTTGTTATACCCACGCACAAGTCACTTGTTTATCTTGGAGAGTTCCCCTCTCGTGCGTTTTCGTGCTGTCGGGGGGTGGGGTACGCACGTCGACGAGACAAGGTGTCGTGTGCCTTTAGCTGTGAGAGCTCGCATTAAGTGATTGTTCTTGGTGGCAGCGAAGCTAACGGAAGCTTTCACTGGTGACTCCTTTATTTACTGGTTGCGCAGGCGAGGCGGTATAAATATGAATATGACGGAGGCGGTGGCGGTGGTTGCGACGTTGCTTGTGGTCAACGTGATAAAAGGGATGCGGGGGAGGTCGGAATGGAAAGATACTAGAAGACTGTGCCCAAATCTTCGGACCAGTGGGTGTTCCCGAGGGATTCCTGCCGCAGCTGCAGCTTGGTCTTAGCGTGTTAATCCTAACCGGGCAACAACACAGCGACACAGGAATGTACCCGTCGTGGTCGATTTAATCTGGCCTTGGCGGCGTGCTTGAGTGTCGGCGTCACACACCGCAGCCGGTTGTGTGTGTGCGTACCTCACGGTGAAGGCTCGAAAAAATGTCGCAAACCACTTCCGTTCGTGGCAGCAAAAGCATGCCAGGTACAAGACAAGACAAGACCAAAGAATAATTGTATCACTGCCGTTCGATTCGCAAGCAGACAAGAGAAAGACAAGCGTATCCTTCCACATGCGTCATTGTGTGTGTGTGTGTGTGTCTGTTCATCACACGCGCGCTAGCTCGACTCTCTGCTCGGCCGACTCCCACTGCCGCGCCAAGCACCGCAAGGATTATTCTACGCCAACGTAGGGGGCGGCGGGCGCATACCGTCGATTGCATAAGATATCACATCCCCTGGGGTGGTTTTCAAAACTCGGCAAGGAAAGAAGTGACGGTGCCGAACATGACGGAGTTGGAACCGTCCCGTCGGGAGCACACGTATCGTTCGCCTTCGGCATCCTCTTGGTTGTGAAGTAATCGAGCTTTGAAAAGGGGGTGTAGTATCTTGCGAAACCGTACAGTACAGGTCCAGCCCCCCCCTCCAATGTGACCCCGGTTGGGTCGTCTAGCTAGTAGAAGTGGGGGATAGGGGCCAGAGGGGCAGACGACAGAGTCCAATGATGGGAGAAAAAAAAAAAAACGCGTTTTTGGCGGCGGAACAACATTGATCTACAACATGGTTTTCGAGACTATCGTCAGGAGGTATTCTTCTGTATCTCTGTCTCCCTGCCCCCCCCCCCCCCCCCCCCCCCCCCCCCCCCCCCCCCCCCCCCCCC